AGGTAGAGTAGGGGTGAGTGGGGTGGAGGGTGGACTGTGGAAGTGGAGAGTAGGGTGCGGAAGGTTGGAAAAAACTTTTGAAAAATATTATTATTTCTTTTGACGAGAAGTTATTAGGAAAATAAGTTAATAAGGAAAATATTTGGAGACAAAATTATTCATACCAAACACACCCAAAAAGTAGTATTACTTGACCCTATGGAGCCCAAGATAAGCATTTTATATAAGCCAAGTTCTCAACCACATTTTGGTCTATAGAAATTTTATCCACAGACCATATATATAAATATCATAAAGAGTGAACAAAAAAAAGACAGGAAATTCCGTTTAAAAAAAACAGATGGATTTAACTACAATTTCACAGTCTATTTCCTATGCTAATCTCCCAAAATTACCATCTTTGTTTCATTCAAGAGCTACCCTTTGTTCTTCTAATTCCATTAATATTCTTGGATTTAATTGCATACCCAGAAAGCTAAAATGCAATGCAAGGCAACTGAGGCAATTTGGAGCTATCCATGCTTCTGTGGCTGAGAGCAATTCAACTAATGTTTCAGTTACANGAAGGGGAGTCTTGGATTAATGATAACGTTGTCTTCACGGGTTCAAGTGACCCTTCCCCAGACCCTGCATGAACTACGGATACTTTGTGCACCGGGCTGGCTATAAAAGTTTCTGAATTCTGATCATGAGCTAATAGTGCTGAATTGTAGAATGGGAAACAATTAATGGGGTCAAATTTGCGAGAACTAATAAAAAAATGGCAGCCCGGTACACGAAGCATCTTGCATTCACGCAGGGTCCAGGGCCGCACTCCAAGAGGATGAGCCGTAGATGGTCTACCCTGATGCAAGCATTAGTGGCTGATTGCGCGGCTCGAACCCGTGACCTATTGCGAGAACTAATACTTGAATAAAGAAAAGGGGAAATGAAAAAATTCCAGTAGAGAAAAAAAGTTAGGTGATTTCTTCTTATATGCCTAAATTTTGGTGGACATAATTATTCGTACCTACACTCGTAAGAAGTAGCAAGTATCCGAAGAAATGATGTACATAAACTGGTCCGACACTACCATTATAAAACTTCAGGGACCAAACTCTTACACTTTTTAAATTAAGAATTTAACTTATATACACGTGCATTGCTTTTTACGCTGTGAGTGCATTTATAGCTGGTCATTTTCTTTATTCTCCGTATTTGATATTTACAATTAAGCTTATTATAGAGAATTATCTGTCGTTGTAGATCATTTTAACATGATGGTGTCTATAAAATTATACTGGAGTGCATAGAGATTAAACTCTTTATAAAGGGTAAATATGCTCAGTCAAAAAAATATGTAGGGATCAAACCAAGGTAATAACTCAAAAGCTAAAATCACTATTTTCTCTTATAATTTGTTGTTTCCTTTGTCTTAACTTAATCACTGTGAACCACATCAGGGGCGGACGCACGTTGAACGAAGCAGTGTCACGCGACACCGCTTCGTCGAAATTTTTGCTAATCATATGTATTAATACTGTGGGAAAATAATAACAAGAGAAAATGCCACCACTTAGACACGGATCATCGTCTAGTACGCTGGTTAAGTGCCTTATTTTGCTGTAAGAGGTCGTCGATTCGAACCTCAAGTAGAAAATATTTTTGGCAAATATTTGAGAGAGCCTCTAGTTAAAAATCATAGGTAAGTAGAATTGGACTCGGAACCTCTTTTAAATTAAGACTCAACAAAATCAATGCACTAACGCTATTTCTTGTATAATTAAAGTTATTTATTCTTCGTTCTTCTATAAATATTGACGCCACTTATAAAAAATCTTGTGTACGCCCCTGAACCACATGCTAGTTGATGCTTTAAAGCAAGGACCTGAATTTTTGTTACTTGCTTTCTTCTTTCATAATGAATGTGTTATAAGCTGCAGAGTATAGCAATCTATATATACTTGTGTGGATGTTTGGAATGGGGCCCAAGAGGCTCGGGTGAGCTTCATATTGGTTTCGGACTGATTTTGCTAGACTTGGCAGATAGTAATCTCTATATATGGTTGAAGACAAAGGAGCTTTAAGCATTTTTGTGATCTTATCTATACATGTTCCCTTTAGCTTAGAACTTTTAATTTAAATATCAATTATTGAATACAACAATCCTGGAAAAAGGTGATGGAGACGCAAGGCACATCGGTTCTCCAACTGCAAAGCCAGGCTCTCTTGAAATACCTTCTGTAAGTATTATGATGTACATTTCTTTTTGCAACATTGGATTCACCATTTAACATACATATGCACATGTATGTTAATTGCACATTCTGCAACACGGTTTAGGGTGCAGTTACTGTCGGACGTGTTGCTGAGAAAGCAGATATGGTCATTCCGGTGCCTACAGGTAATGAAAGCAGTTTTCTGAAATAATTTTACTTATAGAGCTATGGTTACTACTTGTTGTTTCTGCTTCCTTTTTAGTTTTTTCTTCTTGAATCGGGGGTCTATCGGAATCAGTCTCTCTACCTTCGTAAGGTAGGGGTAAGGCCTGCATACACTCTACCCTCCCCAGACTCCACTTTTCTGAGATTTCACTGGGTTTGTTGTTGTAGAATTTGACTTGTAGAAATTGACCGTGTAAGTAATGTTTACTCTATGTAATTTAACATGTCGAAAAAGGTTGCCAATCTTACTTTTCAAGTAACTTGTTCTACTGTTTAATTATCTTTCTTTTAGATGATCTGATGGTATAATTGGTTTTACGTTGTTAGTTTATAGAAGTTAAACTCAATTGAAATGCTTTGTCTTTCCCGCACCAGCTGAATATCTGTTAATGTACAAACAGTATCTGCTGTACATGCTCTGCTACAAAGCATGGAGGAGTATCTCGTAGTGACAGATTTAGACAGCACGAATGGCACGTTCATCGGTGAGAAGAGGCTTAGACCTGGTGTGGCTGCTGCTGCATTACCTGGAAGTCTCTTGACATTTGGTACAGCTTCTGTAATCAATCCTAATTTTACTTTCCGTATCCTACTTTCCTTTGCTGAGGGTCTATCGGAAAAAGTCTCTCTGCCTTCCAGGGTAGGGGTAAGGCTGCGCACATCCTACCCTCCCCAAACCCCACTTGTAGGAATAGACTGGTTGTTGTATCCTGCTTTCCTTTCCCTTTAAACCGTAGTTATAATTTCGTCCGTGTATAATTAAATCAGGGAATATAGTTAATTAGCCCAGAGTCCACAAGATTGACCCGCCTTAATTAGGTACGTATAGTCTGCTTTGGTCCAATGGATCTCATTGATTTGTCCCTTGGACTATGCCAAATCGATGTACTTTATAAACTTGTGCTGTCTTATATAGCACTTCTCTTTTCTCTCACTTTCTGACGTGGGATTTGTTTAAAGCATCATACGTACCTCTTCTTCGGAAGCTTGACAAGTTAGAAGCATGTCAGTCCACTTTTATCTGCCCTCCGTCATGACCAACATTAGACCACGTGAGCTTGTTGAGAGGAAAACATGAGTCAATGGCCAATCTCTAGTGTGGATATGGAGTACATATGTAGCATTGACCAAATGAAATGTTTGGTGTACCTTGTCTTTGATGATATGAGACAACAACAACAACAACCCAGTATAATCCCACTTAGTGGGGTCTGGGGAGGGTAGTGTGTACGCAGACCTTACCCCTACCCTAGGGTAGAGAGACTGTTTCCAAATAGACCCCCGACATCCTTCCCTCCAAGAACTTCCCACCTTGCTCTTGGGGAGACTCGAACTCACAACCTCTCGGTTGGAAATGGGGGTTGCTTACCATCTTTGATGATATGAGAAACATTAAAAATTCATTAGATAAGTAAAACGGGAAGAAAAAAGACAAAAGGAAAAAAAAGAATTTTGAGACTATCTAGGGGGAAGTTGGAATGTCATTACTTAGAAAACTGGTATACAAGATTAAAAGAAATGGCAGTCTGATGCACAAAGCATTCCGCATTCGTGAAGGAAACATCTACTCAAATATGCTGAAAAAGCCTTGTTGCATCATCTTTTAGAAATAGCATACTTACAAGTAGATGTTCAAGCTTTTCATTTCCATCATTGAGTTTTTCTCACACTTTCTTATAATTTTTTGGTTGGCAATGTAGAGAGAAAGGATCATTCCTTGTCCATGGGATGGTTGTATTGCTTATGCTATCGTGTCAAGAATTTGATTTATATAGGCTGACAATATAAAGAACTTTTGCGCTATCAATTATTTCAACAAGTTACCTTCCTTATTTTTTCAGGTTACTAATCCCACTTATTATAAACAGTTGCTTGTAATTATCTTTTAGGTGATCTGATTGTTTATACTGTCAGTATATAGAAGTTAAACTCGTATATTAAATGTGTCAACTTTCTCATTTAGGGGACACCAATTTGGCGATATTCCGGGTAGCAAAGCTTGAGAAGATGGAAACTCCATCTGAACCAGAAGAAGCTGAAGCTAATACAGAGGAAGAGAAGCCAAGTAGCAGCTAAAAGTTCAGAGTTCTTATTATCTGCAATAATTTTGTAAATGCGGCCTTGGGGTGCGATCCTTCCCCCGACTCTAGTGAACGCGAGATGCCTTGTGCACCCTACTGCCCTTTTTTTTTTAAATTTTGTAAACAAAGGAAATTTATATATGTGACTTGAGTTTTGTCTCCTTTTCTTTTCTACTAGAAGACTACTGTGTCATTCTGTAACATTTATAGAAAATATGATTTGCCTTTTCTATGCTCACTTTTACCTAAAATGAAAGGGAAAAATTATAGAAAAAGGAAAAGAGTTAGATAATTATCCAGACAGTTTTATATATAAAAGGCTAACTACAAATACTTTACTTAAAGGTTTAGATCTAATAACTTATGGCTTCTCTCTTCTATATTCCAATTGATACGTTTACTTGCCTAATTTCACTTAATTTGTGATCAATTTTTAACCAAACACGAAACCAGGCTTAATCAGGCAATACGGGTAAAGTACATCGGGTGGAAAATGACCAAAAAATTTAACACAATGAATGATGGGATATCTCTGTCCTTTGACCCGAGGATTTATTGAATTGCGTACAAATTACCCTCCTCACTCTACTTGTGGGATTAAACTGGAATTTTTGTTGTTGTTTGTAATGATGAGATATATTGCACAAGAAGGCCAAGTTGTTATCATCTTTTATTTATCTTTTCTTATAAGAATGGCCTTGAAACCAATATAAGGTCTATATCTACTAATCTCTCTCTATCTAAGGACTTCAAATAATGGACTAATCCATGCAATGCCTCTAATTCGTATATATTAAAAACTACAAAATTCAGAAGCTGCCCGTTTTGTGTTTTCATCGATTATCTGACCTTTGCTTAAAATTCACTTCATTCATCCAGCCAGTATTGATCGATAGTGGTTTTCTTGATATTGACCTTGAAACTCTCGCTAATTTGGTTTCAATTAAACTGTTGTTACTACTCATGATTAAGTGATAAATATGTTAACTGATAAATCTTAACGAAAGATGGATGTCATATACTCGTGCACTCCACTATTCCACTGGATACCCGCTACCTTCCACCAATATAGATACCGGATAACTCAACCCCCACGACAAATGGAACAAAAATCACCTAGTGTTTCGTCTCTGATGGGATATATACTAGATAACTTACATTCATAAATCCCTTATAAATTGGAAATACCTTCTTCTGTTTTGGGACGACCGTAACAAAATAATTGGCTAGGGAAAACAAAAGAATCACCAGATCCTATGACCATTCACAATCAAGGTAACTGCTCCATGTTATCAGAAATCTCAACAGCTACATGGTTTTCTTCCATTTAAGTTTATGCAACACCAAAAACAAACTGACAACTCTAGTCCCATTTTTGTCGGATGTCCCCGAAGAAGCAACTGACAACTCTAGTCACAAAATATATTTTACATCAGCATATTTTAGTATTTGTAATTCTCTCATTTCAAATTCTTATCAGCAAAGTTCCTAAATTCACCACATATCAAGTGGGGAGGAGAAAAAAATTGGATATTCTGCGAGCTTAAACGCTAATGCAGAAACTGGAAATAGCTAGCAAGCGGACACTACTGCACCAAGAAAATCTAATAACATCCAGCCCCCACCACATTTTCGCTTTCAACCAAAAGACCAACTATGCATGTCGATGCAGTTGGTTCCTCATAACTTCAAGACGGTGAAGTACCCGCTCTTGCTTCGACATCAACACAGTTGCATGTGCACCAATGCAGGTTGCCTTCTACCCACTTGAAGAAATATTACACCATTCTCCATGTCTACTCTACAAACTCCTGTAGTCTATTACAGTAACTTCATCTTCAGGTGCATCAAGATCTTGATAGCTGCGAAATTGTTGAAATGTAGGTCAGTATAGATTAATAAAGAAAGTATGGATAGGTTTCTTTCCAAAGAAAGCACGTATAGTGTCTGATTATTATATATTAGATCACGAAATGGCATAACATGTATTCAGGTCAGTCCCCTTTTTATTCAAAAACAAAACTACTACTACTACTACATATTAGGGTAGAAATTCCTTGAATGGAACAAAAATTCTACCAAGATATAACCAGGTAATCATTAGCTGCTCGAGCAATATAGATTCTGAAGGTAGATTCAGATGCCTCCAGCATATGTAACACCAACAAAGTGCTGCTATTTCTAAATCCTTGTATATCTAACTCAACTTCCTATTCAACGTCCACAAAATATCCCATATGTTACATGGAAACAGACATGCATTTTAAAAACATTGTAGGAGTGATGCCCTACGCAATCTTAACAGGAGATGTAGGTTACTATATTACATAACACATGACAACTAAATGCATGACACACTGGTACTTAGGCATATTCATTTTTGCGTAGTTACTCTTTTGGGAAAAGGTGTGCAATTGAAACTCTCAAAGAAAAATAGAGCTAGCAGATCAGGAATAACTCAGCTTTGGTACTTATAGCATTCCTCCATCTACTTGAGCAGCAAATAAGTTTTCTTGATTCCGAATCTTGCCTTGAGAACATAAGCAGAAGAGGTGAAAATTTACACAAACTGGACTCCATCTGTCTTATTTTCTGTCTTTTTATCCCTCTCAACATGGAACCCATGATCAAAATTCCACTTCAACCTAGTCTACAGACACAGAAGAACCAGCTTACACCGATTTATCTTGAACATGTGCCCCTCATGTCCAGTAGTCAGTAGTCACAAGAATTGCTTTTTCAAAGTAGTGCATAAACGAGGCAGTAGCTCCAAGTCGTAGCATAAGTATCTTGCAGTCCAAGTATCATGGATTTCTTCTCTTTTTCCTTAATCAAGTAAAGTATAATCTTACTGATAATGGTAAAGTTCCCGTATAGAAGAGGTGCACCACAAAACAGAGAATCTACAGAAACATATGATTCTCTGCAAAGACACCGAATCTTCTATACAAATAGGAACCTCATATTTTCCCTTAAATCAATAAAATTACACTTTACTTGATCAGAAAAAAACAGAAGCTCATTAGATTCAAAAAGACCTCATATTTCTTTCCCTCCATACTACCTACATAAGTGCTAATGGTCCATGGAGAAACATCCCACGCTCAGCATCTTTGCTTTCATCCTCTAAAGGCCCAATTACACGACGCAGCATTTGCAGAACCCAGCAATGTACATTGTATCTCAAATTTTAATTTTTCATATTTTAAAGTAGATACAAAAATTAACTTACAAAACACATCTAAATAAAAATATACCTAAATAACCAGATTCAAGATTACCAAAAAGAACATATCATATAAGTTATAACCACATACCAAAATGAAAATATAAGAAGAAATCTTATTCGGATTAACAGACATCGCAAGGCCTAAAACATGCACAGGATGTTCTAGAGAGTAAGGGGTAGACAGCTAATAGTGTTAAATTACACATCATATTGTCTCAGAATGTTACATAACCAAGAAAATAGGAGATAATCAATATAAAAAACATCAAAAAGAAGAATCTGAGCCACACCATAAATTTAAGATGGTTAATACCTATCAATACGTTGGAGTTGGGACAAAACGTTATGTCAATGTGGGTGAAACCCATACCCATTTATATTTTTAGCACAAAGCACTACCCACTTTCCAGGAGCCATTTATAAGCTGATCCAAGGCCTTACCCACACAACCTACAACTCAGCCCTTCTATTTCCTGGTTGTTTTTAGTGCGTCTACACACCAAACAAGACAATGCAAAGCCTATATTGTAATCTAATATCAAACCCATCCAAAGAGCCATTATCTAGATTTTATTGACATACTTTACAAGTTATCAAAATACAATAGCAACACTTGGAAAAACCATATTATGTCTTCTCGCCAGAGAGAACCCAATTTCCCTGGAGCTATACAAACATAGTGCCAAATTCACAATCGACTATTTCACAGATTTTAGTGAGATGGGACATTTGAATGATGGTAACTAGTAGTTTCACCATTTATCAATCTGAAAATACTAGAAGGCACAAAATACCTTCGCAAACGACGAGGATCCTGCCGAAATCCGGGAGGTAAAGCAATTATCGGGGCCCCCCCACTTATTGCAGGCCCAGACATCCCATTTCTACCACCTTCAAAAGGACCAGGGCCTCCTTGTTCTCGCATCATCCGCATTGCAACATCAGGAGGCGCGGGAATAAAAGGCCCAAGAGGACTGCACTTGCAGTGAAAAGGCATAATCAAAAATTCAAGAGCAATACACTAGTCATAGCTGAGACCTAGTTTTGAAAATATAACAAGTGGGAGAATCATTTTAAGTTACCCAGCTCCAGGAACAGGCATCAACACTGGTGGAGGAGCCATGTCTGAAGGGAAAGGAGCAACTGGGATCCCTTGTCCGCCAAAAGTATCAAACATTTCTTCATCAGGATTTCCCCCACTGGCACCATCATTATTAGATTGAAAATCCCCAGATTTTGGGTTGTCAGACAAATCAAACCTTTCACCACCATTAGCTCGACCATCACGATCTCTACGGCTACCTCTGTCATCCTTCAGTCGGCCATCTAGCCCAGGCCGGCGCCTTAGTGGCTTCTCTATCTGCATAGCATCATGCTGTTAAAATCATCACAGATTGAAAAATATGATAAAAAGAGGACTGGATTATATATGAGATCACAATGCTCGCTTATCGAATCAACATATTAAAACGGACTAGCTCCTTCAGGACACTACGCCAAGATCACATAAGCAAGAATACAAAAAAGAAGATAAACAGCATTGAAACACAGATGACAAATAGCAGAATTTAGCCTTATAATACGGGTGCTAACAACAAAAAGAACAATCTAGCTGGTTTGAATTTATCTCAGTAATAAAGACGTCAGAGACCGAATTACTCAGGTTAAACCAATCATGTTAAACATCTCTAACTGCCATCATGTGGAGGCAATATTGAGGATTCAAACATGCAATCATCAATTTTCTGGCTGGGATGATGTGTGATGGTATTTTTTGCATCCAAACAACTCTTTGCTTACTCTTATGACAAGGACAAATCAAACATTTACTTCACCATTGTTAGAAATTTTCTCAGTGATTTTAAAATACTATGAGGTACTGATGCACACTTGTCCAAACCACCAGGGCGATCAGTATATGGTTTTCCCAATAACCGAGGAATCCATTGTTTCTAGCTTCGAAACCCAGTGGTAAATGAGCCCATTCCTCTGCCCTTCTCC